GATACCGCGGCTCGCTCTACCGCTCTCGCTCGCACGCCGTGACGTCACCCGATTCCCGGAATCTCGCGGCCACGAGATGGCTTATTACGGTAAGGCATTCCCGCAAGGGAAATTGTCGGTAACGGTTCGAGATTAAAAATTAAAATTTTACACAATTTAGTTTTTTGTGATTATCAACAAACGCTGCAAATTCGAAAGGAATCGGTCATTAAAATCGCAGTTTTGTGCGTTTCGGCGTGGAATGGCTCGTTAATGCCAGTTTTCAGGATGCTACAAAAATTAACAATGTTCTTGTAATTACTGGTACCCAGCCACTAAAAAGTACTAATGTATGTTCTTTTAACTTCAAATCTAATGCATGCCGAAGGAAAATGATGACCGTACGGCGGTGTAAAAGTAATCGAAATCAACCGCAATTTGGGTTGCCGCTAGAGATGGCGTGAACTGCTACTTGTGAATCACTCGTGATTCGATCACGTTCGTTCCCAATCACGGTGATTTTTGACAGTGATTCGTGATTTCTCGTGATCGTTTCGCAGTGGTGGAGAAACCTAACAGTTCTTTACACGCGACACATAATCTGTATATTTTATATTAACGACATCGAAACAAAAATTCGAGTTATATCGTATAAGGTGAAGGAATAATTAGAAACAATGAAGAATAATGATTAAATTACTGATTATTAATTATGATCTACATGTTACCTAGCAAATCATTCTTTTATAATTTCTTGGGTTTTCTACTGATAATTATACACTGACGTTGTCTGGTGAGAACGTGGGGTCATAGAACCCCCGGAGCATGTGTAAGAGACTCCGTGTGTGGAAGATGTATGTACATATTTATTTATCATTTATAACTTGTATTACGTATTTCTATATAGATTATGCATACGGTTAAGTTTATATGTTTTTTAATTTGTATTAAATATAAACAACTTTTGTGTTGGGTATCAAGCTGAGGAAAATATAATTCGATACAAGTAGGTATCGATACTTTTGTTTCGATACCAAGTAACGATACCTTCATACAAAAGTAGTTATGATTAAAAGTATCGATACCTTGGTGGTATCGATTGGATCCTATAGAGGAGCAAGAAGTGCGTGCGCTATCTTTGTTAAACACATTATAACCTCTATGCTTATGTCAATTGAGTAGCTTGTAAATATAGTTGCTGTTTTCATTCAAATCGGAAAAATGGAAACTATATTAGAGCAACAACGGCGGTATCACGAAGAAAGAGAAAGATTAATGGATGCGATGGTGAAAGAAATGCTCTACAAAAAAGCAGGACACAGGGAGAGCATAAATTCGGAACATCGACTAAAAATGTTGCTTGATCAGTACATGGACAGTACTTTGCATTTGCAAGATTTATACGAGGATAAAGATGGACAAAGGAAAGAAGAAGTAGGTTGATTTTATATTTTAGTTTTAATTATTATACATTGATCAAAGTAACTGTAAGTTATTTGCTTTCACAGGTACAAGCCCTCTCAGGACCTAATGAATTCTCGGAGTTTTATTCTCGCTTGAAATCCATAAAAGAATTCTACCGACGACATCCAAATGAAATAAGTATTCCAATGTCTGTGGAATTCGAGGAACTGGCTAAAATGAGGGAAAATCCCACAGAAGAACTTTCTAATCTTGTTGAATTTACCGATGAAGAGGGTTATGGAAAGTACCTCGATCTTCATGAATGTTATGAAAAGTATATTAATCTTAAGGGAATAGAGAAAATAGACTATATTACGTATTTATCAACTTTTGATCATTTGTTTGATATACCTAGAGAAAGGAAAAATGCTGAATATCAGCGATATGTAGAGTCTTTATTGGAATATTTAACAGAGTATTTAAATAGGGTTAGACCTCTGCTTGACTTGAATGCTGAGCTACAAGAAGCAAATAAGGAGTTTGAAACACAGTGGGAAAATAGTACATTTCCAGGATGGCCAAAAGAAACAGGCAGTGCTCTGACTCATGTAGGAGCACATTTAGAACTTTCTGCTTTTTCTTCCTGGGAAGAGCTTGCGTCTCTTGGTTTGGATAGGTTAAAGTCAGCTTTAATGGCTTTGGGTTTAAAGTGTGGTGGTACGCTTGAGGAAAGAGCTCAGAGACTTTTTAGTACCAAAGGAGAAGCCTCTTTGGATCCAAATCTGTTAGCTAAAAATAATAGAAACAGAAAATCTGGGAAAGGAAGAAATTCTGAAAAGCAAAAAGAGATAGCATGCTTTGAAGCTCAGGCCTACAGACTGTCAGAATTAGTTTCTAGCCAACGAGTAGCTACAAAAGAAAATGTTCAAAGAAAACAAGCTAGAACAGAAGGTGAAAGAGGAGATTCTGATGCAGAAGCTAGTGCCAGCGAATCAGAGGAAGAAGATGATAACGAAGTTCCGTATAATCCTAAAAATCTTCCACTGGGATGGGATGGTAAACCTATACCGTATTGGTTGTATAAATTGCACGGTTTGAATATAAGTTATAATTGTGAAATATGTGGAAACTTCACGTACAAAGGACCAAAGGCTTTTCAAAGACACTTTGCTGAATGGCGACACGCGCATGGTATGCGATGCCTTGGTATTCCAAACACTGCGCATTTTGCAAATGTAACGCAGATAGAAGATGCATTAGCTTTATGGGAAAAGCTTAAAGCTCAGAAACAAGCAGAACGTTGGCAACCAGAACAGGAGGAAGAATTCGAAGATTCCCTTGGAAATGTAGTTAATCGCAAAACATACGAGGACTTAAAACGACAAGGTCTTTTGTAAAATATTATTCGGATATTCATACTATTTTTTTGTATACTACAGTGTATCGCTTAAAATGTATATGTATGATCTAAAATAAATACAACATAAATGAAGTGTTTATAACCATGTACTTATCATGTTTTCAAAGTGAAAGTCTAGTTACTTTAGAGTATTGTTTCTATAATTAAATTACTAGACAAAGTCACTGACTGTACAGAAGTTTCAAAGGACCATGTAAAGGTGCAAAGTAATACACGTTTGCATTAATTAAATTTTATTGTTAATATGAAACCGTGCCTCTTGTAGTTTATTAGAATATTACAGAATCCTGTAAATTATTCTAAATTAATCAAAATTGTCCGATAGGCAGGGATTTCGAGTCTCTTTAAATGTCCGCTTTCGACCAATAAGAATGCAACAATTTACTACCTAGAATATTGAGAGTGGCGCACGGTAAGTTGTGTTATATAGAGACGAATATCTCTCATATCATCTCATACAATCTCATACTTTCTCTCCTAAGACTAACTTGGAATAAGTTTTACGCCTGTCGGAAAACGGAGCATTTTAATCTGTAATTTTTTTTTTTGTGAGTACATTATCAACGAGATTCATACAAACGGAATTGAAAGGGACATTTAAATTGAAAACTATATTGAAATTTTCAGATTTAATCAAAAGGTTCACGATGTTCCATCGTTGCGATTAGAACCACGTGCTTCGGGAGGTCAGTCGTTATTATGAGAAATGATTTAACGAAGGCATGCTATCGAAATGTAATTTTTATTAGTCACTCCAGTTTCTTTATGTGTGTTTTGTTTTCTTTAAATAATGATCCTTATTGTAGAGGAAGTTATCATTTTAAGTAGTCAAGGGAGCATTGATCAGAGAACAAAGATATCCCCGCCACCATCGCGGAAAGGTATGCTGAGACAGGATGACGGAATTCGTGGATGGCTGGATATTTGGGCACACTTTAGGGGAAGGTGCATACGGCGAGTACGTTTTCAGAACACTTTTGTTTTGTATGTGCTAAAAAGCATCAATTATCAATCCCCTTTTCTGTTATAATACATCATTATCATTGAAATACCTCTTATAATTTTGAAGTTCATTGAATAGATATAACATCCAAAATATTAAATTTTCTTATATGTACATATATAAATACATTTATATATGTAACATCTAAAAGCATATTTAACTTCATCCTTTCAGAGTAAAGTTACTCTTAAATAAATCAACCGGTGAGGCAGTTGCTATGAAAATGATAGATTTAGAGAAGCATTCAGATGCCAGGCAAACAGTTCGTAAAGAAACTGCTATTCACCGTATGTTATCTAATCCTAACATCATACAGTACTTTGGAAAGCGTAGTGAGCCAAATATGGAGTACATATTCTTGGAGTATGCTGCTGGTGGAGAATTATTTGATCGAATTGGTAAGCAGTAGTATCAATGCTTGGTGATGATAATTGAAAAAAGAAATGCAATGGTTAATGATAAGAATTTTTAAAAATAAAACAGAACCTGATGTTGGCATGCCAGCATGGGAAGCACAAAAGTATTTTAGACAATTACTGGCTGCTGTTGAGTATCTGCATAGCAAAGGAGTTGCACATAGAGATTTAAAGCCAGAAAATTTATTACTAGATGAAAATGACAATTTAAAAATTTCTGATTTCGGCTTGGCAACAATGTACCGGTTTCAAGGCAGAGAGCGTTGCTTAGAAAGAAGATGCGGAACACTACCGTATGTTGCTCCAGAAGTATTGTTACGTCCCTATCATGCAGAACCTGCAGATGTTTGGTCCTGTGGTATAATTCTTGTTGCTTTGTTGGCTGGAGGTAATCTTTATAGAGACGTATATCTGTATGTCACTTGTCAATAATTTGCATAAATGTCGTTTAAATAATTTACTTTGATCTCTATATGAAATTTGATTAAATAAGTACATTCATAGTATCATAAGCATAAGTACGAGCAGATCACTGTCATTTTTAGTCTGATGATTTAGGTTTCTAATGCATAACTTACATTTCTTAGTTATTAACTGGTCCATATCTGAACTGTAGAACTGCCTTGGGATCAGTCCTTGGCAGAATGTCCAGAATACATGGCATGGACAGATGGAAAATACATGTCTCTTACACCATGGAAAAAATTGGATACTTCCTCCTTGTCTCTGATTAAAAATATTCTTGTGCACTCACCGTCGTCCAGATATACTATAAAAAGTATTAAACAACACAGATGGTTCGCCAAAAAATTCCAGAAGGGTATGTATCCGTTCTCAAATATACAAAGATACTGTTCTCTTACTTAAACGTATACAGCAGTTTTGTCAAAATCTCCATTGATAAGATGACACACGTATTTACTTAGTCAGGTACTGAGTAACTCTGAGTATGTGTTAAATTACTCAAAGCAGCTTAGTACCTAACTGAGTGGATACCAAAGGCACCTAGTTTCTCGTGTATTTGTAAGTATTTGATACATTTAGTTGTAATTCTTGTCAATTATCATAAAAATGAAATAATTACATAATAATGAAACCTTTAACTTTCCAAGATTATCAAAGCTTTTGCCTTTACTTTGGTAATACAGCTCTATGATTTTAATTAAGGATCATAAAGCTAGATTACCAAAGTAAAGAGCACTGGCGTGTACATCCAATGGAAATATACAAAAGATATTTAATTTGCTTAAAAGTAATTTAAAAGAATAATATTATTGATATCCAACTTATACTCTTATTTTTTCTTAGCTGGAGGCACAGACGGATATATTCGTCCTGATGAGATTGATTCAAGACAAACGTTAGAAGATGAGAACTTGACTAGATTTTGCTTGTCACAACCGGAATTACTTAGAATAACAAATAATGCAGTACAAATTAATTTGGAAGAGCAATCAGGATTTTCATTTTCTCAGCCTGCTCATATAGAAGATTTGTTGGTGTGCACTCAAGTACAAAATAAACAGCTTACACAAACAAGCCAGGTAGTGCAAATATGTTACGGGCTTCGGTGTATAAATTTCTTGATGATTATGTAGTATACTTATGACTTATCTATTGCAATCTATTTCTATGTTTACAGCAAAATACATACCAACGTCTGGTACGGAGAATGACACGATTTTTCGTTAAAACGGAATTGGAGACAACAGTGGAAAGATTAATAAATTGTTTAGACAGTGAAAATTATACTTATCGCATTAACGACTGTCGCACAGTAAGTTACAAAATAAGTATTTGATAAATAAATGAATTATTTACTTATTAATGTAATTACATTTTACAGATTACCATATCAAGCGTGGATAGAAGAAAAATGCCTCTAGTTTTGAAAGCGAATATCGTTGAAATGGATGGAAAAATCCTGGTCGATTTCAGATTGTCTAAAGGCTGTGGTCTAGAGTTTAAACGCAGATTCATAAAAATCAAGACTAAACTGGACGATATAGTATTAAAGGGCCCTGTTACATGGCCAATTGCTGTTGCAACCGAATGCATACCTTGAAATCAATAATGTACAAAAAACAATTTTAAATAAAACATTTTATACTCTTTTATAAGAACAGATGGATTTCTTGTCTTCGGACGTTAATGTAATTAAGTTTTCGACGTTAAGTTTTATACGATAGGCTTTAAGTACAGATTTTCACGAGTAGTAATTCGTCGCTTTCTAAGCTCAAACAGGGTCCGTCGACCAATATTTCGTGTACAAATTGTACCTTAACCTCAATCCTGAACATGTTTCCGAAATGCTCGTGCTGCAACACTTGATTATATTTGCAATAACCAGTGTTACAGTGTTTCTATTTTCCTGTTATCTTAACTTTACATACGTTTTCGATACTTTTACGTATCGACTTTTCAATGATATTAGTGATTTGCAAGTATACGATTATGTCGTCGGTAAGTTATTTAGCAATATAAATTCATAAAAAGAAAACAGACACACTCAAGGGATTCAAATTGCAACGTTCTTCCAGTTGGAGCAGGCACCGCGGGTGCAACTTTATCTGCAAGATTAGCGGAAGACGGGCATAAGGTCTTATTACTGGAGGCTGGTGGAGTTGCACCACCTTTCCTTGATATTCCACTTCTAGCTCCATTAATTCAAAACAGTCCATACGATTGGCAATATATTACTGTGCCTCAACAGAATGCTTGCAAGGGTTTAATCAATAATGTATTACATTCTATTAATGTGCACCTTACATGCAATAATGAATTTGGTATATAACTAAGAATTTGTTCTTAGCAAAGCAGATGGCCAGTGGGTAAAGTTCTTGGTGGAACTAGCCGATTAAATTATATGCTTTATGTACGAGGGCATCCTCTTGATTATAGTGAATGGCTTCCAGAGTTTATCGGTAGTTACTAGAAATATGAGATTTCATTATTACTTTCTTCTTTTTATTATTACTAGATGTGGAAAATGCTTTCAGAGCCTGTTACGCAGAATGGTGGGCCAATGAATGTAAATAATTTAAAATGGAATACTTGTCTGGCTGATGTGATCTTACAAGGATTGGTAGAACTGAATCAACGCATTGGTGACATTAACAAGGACTTCGAAACAGGTAATTTTATTGTTATTGACAAGAGTACCACAGTTTGATAATGTTGTCAATTTAGGTTTCATGAAACCACAAGTGTCCATACAAGATGGTAAAAGATGGAGTACAGATAATTTATTGCACAAATATTCTCAAAAGAAAATGACTATTATCACTCATGCACATGTTGAGAAAGTATGTTTAATAAGTAATATGTTGAGTCTGTTTTGTGACAAACTATGATTATGCAACTGTTATTTACTTGCAGGTATTAATAAAATCAAATACAGCAACAGGAGTACAATTTATGACCCTAAACAAAGTATATAAAGCAATTGCAAAAGAAGGTGTTATTCTCAGTGCTGGAGCAATTGGTACTCCTAAAATATTGATGTTGTCCGGTATTGGACCAAGAGAACACTTGGAAGATTTAAATGTAACTATTGCTTATTAGTAAATATTTCAATTACATTTTCATCACGATATAACAATCTACTTAATGTTTAGATAAACGTTATTAGAGATTTACCAGTTGGTCAGCATTTGATAGACCATGTGCTTACTGGAATTGATTTAATTACACTCAATGAAACTATGGGTTTAAGTATGGCTGATACTCTGAATCCAATGTCAGCATTAAACTACTTTCTTTTCGGTGATGGTAAAGTTCTTAATTTGGAAGAGTAGTCAACATTTTACAATTTATGACAATTATTAGATATCTTTTTATTTTAATTTAGGACCTTGGACATCCACAGGAGTTGAAATTCTGGGAACACTTCATAGTTCTTTTAAAAAAAATACATCAAATGTACCAGACTTACAAATAATGGTTATGCCACTCGGATTATCAAGGGATCACGGTATTGTGTTAAAAAAAGCCTTGGGAATTTCTGACAAGGTCAATTACAAGAAAACTGTACAATACTTATATAGTACCTATCAATATATTCGAATGTTAATTCTATACGTATCATTTCTCCAGGTCTATAATGAATATTTTGCTCCCCTCGCATATAAGAATACAATAACAATTGCTCCTGTTCTATTACACCCGAAAAGTATGGGAGAAGTTAAACTACGCAGTACCGATCCTCTTGATCCACCCCTAATTGACCCAAAATATTTAACGAACGAAGATGACATTGCAACTCTTATAGATGGTACTGTGACTAAACTTTGGTATAATATGTACATGCTAGTTCCGATTGGATTGCACAGTATTCAGTTTCACAGGATTGCAGTTCGTGAAGAAAATCGTTGAAACAGATGCTATGAAAACTGTTGGTGCATCTATTTATGAAAAACATTTTCCCGATTGTGAAAACGAAAATTTTGGCAGTACAAAGTATTGGGAATGTTACATACAACATTTAACTTTAACTTCTTATCATCCTGCTGGTACATGTCGCGTGGGTGATGTAGTCGATCGAAATTTTAGGTGATTCATTGTTTTGTAATATTAACTACCGTTTTCTGTTTTATATCTATCATGAAATTCGCTTCTTACAGAGTTTACGGTATGACAAATTTATACGCGATCGATGCATCTGTATTACCATCTTTACCAAGCGGCAACATTAATGCTGCAGTTTTAATGCTAGCTGAAAAAGCTGCGCATACATTTAAATGGAACGTAAAACTTAATATAAGTGATGCAAAATGTTACAAGCCATACACCTACTACGATAAATTTAGCCAATAATTTAATAAATCAAAGAAAATATTCTTTTTATACATTACACGTGTAAACGTAAATAATCTTAATTTATAACATATATCTTTGAGATAAAAGATTGTGCTAGTATTATTGCCTTTAGTACCCAAAATGGAAGAAGTTAAGATTAATGATAATAATCATTAATGATGCACAATAAAGTTTTCAGGTTTATAATAAATTTTATAAATTAATGTACTTAAATGAACCAGAATTATGCTTGCAAAGTGATTAAAATTAAATCGTCATATTAACAGAAGCTAATATTACACAGCTTAGCACATTCGAGACCAATGTATTATTATGTACCATCTTTACATGACCCAATTGCTGAGTCATCGATCTCGAATGTGACAATGCTTTATACATTCCAGAATATCAATAATAATTACGTCTATTATTTTTATAGTCGCGTCTAGAATAGGCGCTCAATCTATGACCATCACGAGTGTTTCTAGACCTCTGATCCTTATGATGGTTATTTTTATTTTGTTCTCTCTGATAAGGATGTGCTCTCCTGGATCTTCTATCATCGTTATAAGAGTGAACGTCTAGTTGCTTACAATGAAGACCTGAGGAACTTGGCAACATACTTGTTCCAAATATATCTACTTTCATCTGTTGGCCTAACTGAAGCAGATGGTTTACATCATAAATCTGATCCTGTGAGTTTGTTTTCTGAGGTAAATCTGTGTTGTTCCTCGTGCTTATGCAAATAGAACGATTGAATAACATTGTACCATCAAACAGTTTTAAAGCATATGATACAGAATCAATATGTTTATATATTACAAATCCATATGTTCTTTGCTTGCCATCACGATCTCTAGGAATACTAACTCTTTGTACAGGCCCACCCTACAACATTACAGAAAACATTTTTATCAAAGGGACCTACGAAATGATACAATAAACTTTTGAAGTTTAGAAACACACCCAATCAATCGGATAAACAGAATGTATGATAAAATAATTCGTAATATATTAAATTTCAGTAAAGGAGTCATTTACATATGACTTGTCTAAAGCGTAAAAGTATATTCTGGAAATATAAATCCAGTGGAATAATCTCGAGGTTACATTAAAACTTGAATGTATTTAATATAGCCGTAACTACATATTTAATATAGGTCTAACATCAATAATTTTAGCATACGTAAAACACGCTCCAATGTTTGTTTACGAGCCTGCGTAAATGTACACAAACCTGTAAGAATAACTCATATAAAATTTCTTCTGTTACTTTCTCGCTTAAATTTCCACACCATAGAGTACGTATTTCTTCGTCCATGATGTTACAGAATCTAGTATTACAAGTAAAGATTCGAATTTTATCAAAATTATAAAAATAAATTTAACATAGAATCGAATAGGAGAGACAACTGGTAGATTACATTCATACGATTCATACATTCCAATCATGATTCTTGCAATTAACACTAGAGAGCGTTGAAGTTTCAATTGAAAAAGGTATTTATATACATATACAATAATTGTATGCCAAATCAAGTCTAGAAAACTCCATTGTTAAGATAATAACCATATACGAAAAAATATGGTTTAGAAGTATTTACTGAATTTCCATATTGCTATTAATAAAACCAGAATACATAACAATTGGGCTTCATTTCTTAATGAAATGAGTGCCCAATGTGTGGATCAGCGTTGTGATCGCTCTTAGGGCTGATCCCCACACTAAATATTCTTGTGGCGCCATCAATTATTAAAATTATTGTACTAATTGACTTGGACTGTCTGCCGTAGATGGCACCATGAGTAATTTCGATCTCTTAAACAATAGATGTATTACATATTTCAAAACACCACAATGTCTGTAATTAAAGCAAAATATTAATTCAGAAAAATTCAACAAATATTCGAACAACATTAGAAAAGAATATTTCATTGCAACTTCTGTGATTTTTTCTATATTTTTTGTCATGTGCGTACTTGACGTCATGTACACACTTTGGGAAAGAAACTTTGGCGGTTCATTGTATACCGTATATATCATTGTTGAACGTGATTGTAAAAGTAATATGTACAGACATATATTTTTCTTAATAACTACCTATAACAAATATACAGGATGGTTCACGCAACTTGCACATCTTAAATAAATTTTAAAGTATGCATTGTATGAACAAAGTATTCATACAAAAGTAAGAAATGTCTGCTAATATTAAATCTCAACATTTTCATGAAAGGAAGTGAAATTATTAGTTAATTATTAGGTTTAGAGCTAATGAAGGTCAATACTTTCTTACTCAGAATTCAACACTCTTCGATATCTTGGCATAAAAAATATAGCATTCCATTTAAAATAACTCAGTTGCCCTTGAAATCTCCGAAACGTCTCCACCTACAAAAAAGTTATATGCACTACATAATATATCCCTACAAACCATTCAACTTTTGTATAAAAAATGTTTTCATAAAATGCATACTTTAGAACTTATTTAAGGTGTGCAAGTTACGTGGACCACTCTGTATGTCAAAAACTATATTTATAACGGACCACAAATATTTCAAAATGTTCTTCCTATTCAATAATAACGGCTTTGTCCTAACATTCTATGTTCAGTGAAGTAAATAAACGGACTTTCTGTTGTATCGTTGAAAGAGGTAAGTTTTCGAAAAAGTGGCTGTCAAAAGTCTCATAAACAGGAATTGTAATGGCTACGAAGTTAAATAAATACACGGATCGTCAAATAGCAGCAGTTCTCGATACGGAATCAGATTCGGATACACAGAACAGTACCTTAACTAAGGATGTCAGGAATGAATTGCAAAGAAAAAGAAGTTCGAAATTGCATAGTAGAAAGCGTAATGATTCGGACGTATCTACGGATGACGGAAACGCACGTGGAACTTTTGAATATGCATGCCGTAAGGATTGTAAGGAACGCATTTTGCAGGAAGAAAAAACTTCATTTAAGATTAAGTTAAGACGGTCCACGGAACAGAGTTTGTACAAAATTGATACTGACTCTGAATGTGAAAAATCTGGACGTAGGAAGCGTGTTGGTCGTTCTTTACAGCAAAAGAGAATGAGCTATTCAGATGTAGAAAGTGAAGGTTCTTGTACAGACAATAAAAGTTCAGCAGATTCCACAAATACTATGAGATGTAAAAAAGAATTACGACAGTTGGAGATCAATGACAATGTGTTGAGTACACCTAGAGCTAGAAAACCACCTTCAAGACTTTCTTTGTACCATTGTGGCTCTTTAAGTTCCTTAAATCATATGGATAATACTCAAATAAATTCTCCTTCTCTGAGGAGGAATAGAAAGAAAATTAATTATAATGAAGATAAATTAATCCTTAATGTTATAAAAGCTAATATAGAACTGGACAATAAAAAATCAAAGCAAAAGGAGAATAAAGATTCTAATGTTTTCACTGTTAAAAATAAAACAGAATCTGAAAAGTTACGATCAAATGCTAGGAATAATAAACGAAATCGTATGCCTTCTGTAAATGATAGTGAGAATGATGGTAGCATAGACTCTAAAATAATTAAAACAAAATCAATGAGAAAGTCCAATGAATCTGAGTGTAGTACAAACAATGATTTGAATAATTCTGTGGAAAGGAAAAAGGTTACAAATGTGGAGCAGAAAATAGTAACTACACCTGTTACAGGGAGTAAGCAGAAAAGAATGATTTCTGGAAATACACCAAAAAATGGTTATGTTGTGAATAAAGATCAGGATGATAGCAGCGAAGAAGCTCTCATTGATATGTACAAACATGTAAAAATCTCATCGGCAGTTAAAAACACCACTCCTGGTAGAGAGGATAAACAGAGGAGGGTAAATTTTGAGAGTACGCCAAAAAATGTAGAATTTATAAGCAATAATGAAAGCAACAGTGAGGAAGAATGTCCGACCGATACGTACAAACGTATTAAAACTTCGTCCGTGAAAAAGAACATCTCAGTGTCACAAAGGAAAAATAACGCGAGAAGGAACATTGAAATACAACTGGAAGGAACCATTTTAAATACCCCTAAATCGCGTTCATTGAAACTTAAAAACTTGACACCATCAATGGGGAAAAGAAATAGCACTTTAATGAAACCATCTACACCTTTACAAGAGGCTCGATCCAGACTTCACGTTAGTGCTGTGCCAAAATCTTTGCCTTGCAGAGAGGAAGAATTCAATAACATTTTCACATTTCTTAAAGGAAAATTGGAAGACAAAAGTGGAGGGTAGGTTGAAAATAAAAAAAAAAGAACTTTTTCTTGGAGCACTGTTAATGAAACGAAATTATTCACAGATGTATATACATAAGTGGAGTACCAGGAACAGGTAAAACTGCAACTGTAAATGAAGCTGTAAGATGCCTACGAAAACTAACAAGTAAAGGACAGTTAGATGACTTTGATTATGTTGCAATTAATGGAATGAAATTGACAGAACCAAGACAGTCTTATGTACAAATTCTGAAGCAATTGGGTGGTAAAACTGTTACATGGGAGCAAGCGTATCGTGTACTTGAAAAGAGATTTCATAATGTCAATTCCAAAATGACATTGCTTCTTGTAGACGAGGTACGATTCGTGTCCAATCTTTTTGTCGTTCATAAATACACTTGTAGTCTATTGTCACTCCCTAAGTTAATGGTTAATTGCAGCTCGACTTTCTATGTACGAAACGTCAGGATGTTGTATACAATTTATTGGATTGGCCAACAAAGGCAACAGCGCAGCTAATTGTTGTGACTATAGCTAACACCATGGACTTACCCGAGAGAGTTTTGATGGGTCGTGTTACATCACGTTTGGGCCTTACTCGATTAACTTTTCAACCATACAATTACAAACAGTTGCAAGAAATAGTAATGTCCAGACTCAAGGAGTTCGACGGTTTCAGAAGCGAAGCTGTACAACTTGTTGCACGGTACTAGAACAATTATGTTAAGAATCGACATCTGGAATTTTAGTCGCCATCATTCGATCGTTTTATTTTAGAAAAGTTTCTGCCGTGTCTGGAGATGCTAGACGAGCCTTAGATATATGCCGTCGCGCAATGGAAATCGCGGAATCACGAAACGCCGAAACGATATCTCTTCAAGATGTTACGGAAGCTGTGTCTGAAATGATCGCATCCGCAAAGGTTCAAGCTATAAAGCATTGTTCGAAAATGGAGCAAATATTTTTACAATCGATATCTGCGGAGGTGACACGAACCTCCATCGAGGAGGTATACTTTAAAGATGCGTACAAGCAACTTGAATCGCTCTGCTCTTTCGACGGTGCGTGTTTTTAGAGTAGTAAACGCCAAGAAGATGTTTAAACATTACAGATTGTTTAACTGTTCCATTCCTTCTTACATTGCAGGCATAGAAATACCTACTGTATCGGAGACACTTGCTATCTGCGGACGATTGGGAGCTAGTAGACTATTAATATGTGAACATTCAAGAAACGACATCTACCAGAAAATTTTATTGAACGTCTCCATAGACGACATTCACTATGCGATCCAGGAGCTAGATTTTAATTCGAAATAATGACGATTATAATTTTTAACACATATAAGTGTCCATTTGAATGCATTTTTTGCATGTGTTCTTTGAAGTGCCTTAATGTGCCAAACGATGTCATTGATTGTTAATCGATCGCACGATTGCCATTTTCATTGTATAATGTATATATATATATATTATTTATTCATTAAATTTTATACTGAAAAGTAATATTGACTAATCGATAACATTTTATACAAAGTAATAATTATGTATTTAGATAAGTACGTTATATGTGTCGCGCCTTCTTCGACTGATAAAATTGAACTCTAGCCGCACGTTACAGCCTTTACTGTCAATACATCTGTGATTTGCCAAATTACGTAATTCAAGGATCTCATGCGAGAATTTTGTGTACTATTAATAAACAATATGCGAACATAGCCCAAATTTAACCAGTATCTTGTCAGACTTTAGAACGTGTGGTCTATAGTTTTTGAATTATCTGTTTCGTGGTAGAGTTATGGGTACCGAAAATATCGAGGAAATGGTTCTTACGCTCTACAATCAAGAAAAATGGACAGATATCGTGGAATTAGTTTGTAGCACGAATGAATTTGAAAAGTGTCGATTATTTTGGGTTCTACCAACCATGAACGATTTATGTTGGATCAAAGACATAATCGACATGCACAATGTGAGCGGATTAACAAGTATAGGTTGCGGATGTGGATTACTAGAGTGGTTGTTCCAAAAGTACTCCGGTAAATCGTTTGTTTTTCTATGCCTCTATAGAATAATACATTTTTATCGATCAATTATTGTGTTTTAAGGGTTGGAAGTTGTCGGTATAGAATTAGATCGATCCTGGTGGTGCAGTAAATATTCTCCACCTACCTTCTTGACGAATATGCTTTTTGTTCATGAAAGTAATACAAAAAGCCTTCGCGTACCGGAAAATCATGCCCTTCTATTCTGTTACTTTAATAACGCGTCGGCGTTTTGCGACTACATTAAAAATTACAGAGGAAAACTTGTTTTCGTGGTCGGGCCCAAGGAAGATCAACATCGTTGGACGGATCCAATGCCTTTCGACAAAAAGTTTAACGATTACGGTTGGAAGTTACTAAGTAAGAAAGAAATTGAACGATCCGACGATTACATTACAGTTTACGGCAGATGATAATTTGAAACTGCGCGTTACGAACTTGCTTTCGATAATCACACATCCGCTATGAGTATACGATTATCGAATCGTCGTTGAGTATCGCTCGGAGGAAGATCGATTCGATGTGCGACAAACAGATTTATTAGTTTCAAACGTCAATGTGATGTTGATAGTGGTGTGATTACAATACGTATTACGAATAATCAAATTTATCATTGGAAAGCATGTCAACGGAAACGGATAAGAATTCCTTGGCGGATCAAGACAAAAAGAACAACTCGAAAGTTTACTGTACATTCTGCCCCTCAAAAATGCTGAACGCAGGTGCAGCCCGGCTAGTAAACATAGAGGTGATCGTCTGTCGATTTAATTACGATAAGTTTATTGAGAGAAACCAAAGTGTTGCCTTGTTAATACCAATCGTATAGTCGTAAAATTACGTTCAAATGTTGCACGGTAACATTCAAGTACACCTTTTCCCGTGTCGTCACGAAACCTAACCTTAAAGATTGTTTACTCTATAATTCCTTGCTATATTCTCCCGTTTTAGTTTAATTTACCGTACGTACAACGTAAACGAGACGACGAAGTCGATCAGAAGGAACTTTTAACGGACTTTTGGTTGGTAGAGGATATGTACACGTTCGAAAATATCGGCGTGTCCCAAACGGTAGACAACGTGAAGTATTTAGCGTGCGCGGACTGCGAAAGGGGTCCTGTGGGTTGGCACGATCTGACCACAAAAAAGTCGTACATAGCACTGAGCAGAGTGAAACACGAATGATTTGTAAATAAAGGTATTTTATAATTTTATACACGATTCATGGTTTCATTTCATCTCGAAGACAACCACTGAAACGGGACGACCGAGATAGCGTGGAGAGAGAATGCACGGTGCTGTTTTAAGTTGATAGTTTAATATTTAATCACGTACGTTACAAACACAGCCGGATAAATCAGATAATCAATCGTCGTTACGATGTAATAATCAATAAATTATGCTTACGATTAGAAATAATTTATCAATGTATCTAGACGTATGCAATTTTCGTGAATTAATTTCATTGCAATGCATCGACCTCGATAGCGCGACCCTCGAGGATCGCAAAAAGTTTTATGCGTTGTTCATGCCGGGATAATTAATTATGTTATTACGTAACGTGTTACACACGCGGTGGGGTACCTACGTGTACGTAATTATACATGTATGCGTTTGTATACGTGTATGAATTAATGCCTTTTCGAAAATTGTGATATTCGTATTCGATTCGCGTCTCCGATGTACTCTCGAGATAACGTAAATAAGGAGACACTTTTCTTTCGAAGCCTTATTGTACATTTACGGTGTTGGCTCTCTTAACAGATGATACGGTTCTTTACGTTCATTCCGTGGATAAAGAAAATTTGATCACGAGCTATGCTATTTATCGTGCGTTATTCGAGCGATATTTCGTTCATGATTTTTTTTTTTCTTTGAATATATTATATCGAACTTGTTTCACCGCGAAAAGGAAAAAAATTCTCGCATACATAAAAACATATAATATACGAACACGTGGATACGTAATGCGTTCGCAAAGCAGCTTCATCGGAGAAAGTTATACGTAACTATTTTATCAAATACGTTCTTGATCTGCTTGGAATATTGCAAAAATAGTCGCGCGTTCGTTCCTAGCCATGTCGCAACGGACATTAATAACATCACAGCTTTATCATTCTTATTCCTCTCTCTGCATTCTCTCCGTTCTATGCTCGCACGTGAGGCGCGCGAGCGCGGTTTTTTTTTTTCACTCAACAAACTTGATTACGCTGGCGCGCGTGATTGCCGAACGAATAATTTCTGGCAATCACAACTACGTAATAACAGCGTCGGTACAAGATAATTGTCGGCGTCGCACACGTTGATACAAGACGGCGAACGAATGACGATGACACTCGATGACAACGATCCAGATTTCAACTACGATGGAGTAACATCACGAGAATTCGCGAGAAATCACGATAAAATTTATAATGTAACGGTACTATCTCATAGAATATAGCTTGCAATGAATAATAATAATAATAACTGGTCTATAAATGGTAACGGTGAATATCGGACCAACGATGCGCGTAATATCCTACGCCAAGGGAGTATACTTTTATTCTCTTATTCCCACCTCGAAGATGCAGAATCCTCGAAAGCGTTCATCTATAACGATTTTTTAACGTTCGTAACTGCTCGTCGACTAAAACGTTCTTTTCGCCTGTTCTCTAATCGTTCGCGGACACAGTGAAAAGGTAGAAAAATAACCAGAATAAGATCGGACAGACTGGAAAATGGTACAGGGTGTGTCCAAGGCACCCGTTGGACTTTGGAACACTCTGTTTACACACACGTGGACACGTTTCTCGTGCTACCGTAAATGTCCGACGATTGTAGAAGCCAATCGATACCTTCGTTCGGTACTGTCGGTCCTGGAATAACCCCCGTATCACAAACATGCCTCGACTCTATTTGTACCTTGAACGCCGATTCGATCAAGGTATCGTCGGTTCTCGGGTCAACGAGTAACGACAGTGGAATTTTCGGACATTTACTAGATTAACGCGTGTATATGTACAGAATCTTGCTCTTTATGCTGTTCTCCTCGAGATACGGCGTTTTTCTTTTTTTTTTTTTTAAATCACCACCTTCCTATTTTACGACCGAAACGTTCCACGTTGTTTCAATGGCACATCGAACCGCTTCGTTTCTCGCTTCCTTCAGTCAAGGAGGAGGACTGTTTCGTAGACGTTGCAACGATTAATCACGAGGGACTTTCAAAACGTTTGCGAAACGTGCTGCAATTTCGCGAAGACTAACAAGCACAGCTTGGAGAACAAGCCCCGAAGACGACACAGGGTATTTTGATAATGGTGTGCACGGTTTAAAAAAAAGGGTGTGAATCTATTTGTAACAGACGCTGGAAGTGTACGATGACAATACTCAACGTGTAGAGAACCTAATCTTTAGCGACAAACGGAGTAAACTGTTCGTGAAATTTAGCGTCATCAGATTTCCATTTGTGTTGAAGGAACATTTGGATGGCGGGCGCTTTCAGTCAACAGTCGAGCTTAAAACGTGTGTGTGCCTACGTTTATGTGGTTCAACGCAATGATACGTTGATGGGAAAAATGTTGTACTGTAAAATAGAGATTACATTGAGAAATAAACGTTCTTCACTGCTTATAATTTTCTTTTTTTACCCGTCTAAAAGGTGAATTCCGGTTCTAACGTGAACACGTTCCTCGTAAAGACTTCTCTCGATTATCGTCCTGAACTCGGGTCCGCGTCGGGACAATAATCTTATAGGGAGAAATGCTTCAGACCTTCGTAAATTCGTTTTTTGCTCGAAGCTTTGTAACAAAAGCGGTGGAGCAATGAAGTATACACTTCACAGATTCCACAAACCCTACAACCCCTCCTCCCCAGTGGTGGGGATAACGCTTGGACAATAATCGTGTAGAACAAGCCAGACGATAATCAAGAGGAGACTGTATTACGAATCGAATCATTTCGAAAAAAGGGATATGCAGGTGTCTCGATACCGAGCGCGAAGAAGATGTGCAAAACTCGTGCGACACAACCGTCTGCTGGTGCGAGAAGTTCCTGTGTGATTCATCACGATTCCATCACGATTCGATCTTGATTCGATCACAATTCGATTCGGGAACTATTCTTGGTGTCTGACGCGGCTATTTTGTCGTTATCCTCGTGGATCGTTCAATCGATCGAATTCTTTCGTGGACAATTATTCCCCCTGGAAAAGTTTTAGACATATAAACAATAATAGTTTATTGTTTATTGGGAGTTCGGCGAGTCACGAAGCGCTTGGATCGCCGTTATTACGAGGACGAGAGTTCCCTGGTGACGATAATACTGGTGTTCGTTCGAACGACATAATATCTCGGCTGAAAACGCATCGGTGAGTAAAGCCGGCCAAAAGCTCCCAGAAAGGATCGAAAAACTATCGCGAACGAGAGGCTCGTGGGCATTTAGCGTATCCGGAAACGATCCCGTCCGTCGTTTCGCGATACTCCCGCGAAACGGGGGTGTATGCCTAATACTGTTTCGACAAGAAAAAGCGTAAACTCTCGTTGGGACCAGCCGTGACCAGACTGAGGGATTTTTAGGGAAAATGGTGGATTATATTATAGTTGTCATTACTTCACTTTCCCCCACTACTAAGATAGTATCATCTGCCATTTTCCTTCGTTGAGGGATTTTGCTGGCCACGCTAGTTCGGACGCGATCGGAACGTCCGATGTTGACAAGGGGGAGATCGAAAGTCCGGGAATTCAGGCGAAACAAATGGGCGAACACGCCCCCCGGTGGATGCCGGTTGTTCTTTAACAGGAGGCCTCGCGTGAGTGCAGCTAATCGTACGACGCTAAAGATTTAGGTCTTGGTCCGTGGAGTATTTTAAACGTTAACAACAGTAATTAATTTATCGACGCTCTCCCCCTCCTTCTATCACCTAAACGACAACCGGTTCGCTGTCGGCGTCACGCGACGCATAAAAAACGTATGTAATATAATAGGTAGAAGTTGTCGTCGTGTGTTTAATTCCCTTTTTACCTCGACGAACCGATTTCGCAGCGGACACACACACACACACACACCGCTGAATCAGTTCGTTTCGCGATCGGTGGTACTCAGTTCTACGTTAAATATTCGTTGATCTCGGGCCCCGTGATTCGAGAAAGCTTGTCACTCGCGATTGACCCTGGCATTCGTACGATTATCGATCTACGGTGTCCTAATTATAATCGTAATAAATATAACGAACATCGTGTAATTGTATTGCTCGCGATCGACATCGATACAATTAATCGGTATTCGAGTCTGATTACTCTAGACACGGTAAAACGTAGCCGGTACACCCGCGGTTTGTCATCTAACTTTACATTGAGCGCATTGAAATCCTACCGTAAAACGTAGCCGGTACACCCGCGGTTTGTCATCTAACTTTACATTGAGCGCATTGAAATCCTGAAATTTCACTTCCCTCGCGATCTTTCGAGCTCGAAGCCGAAATGTTCTGTCGACGACCGAACGTGAAAACGTTCCGAGCGGCTACCGAGTAACCGCTACTCGGGGGGCTACCTGTAGTCCGACAGACAAATAGTCTTCAACATTGTATTGGCTAACATCGAATCGTCGGTTCTTTGGTCTACGATCGATGTACACATATGTCGCGCGTGTATTGCCGAAGAGCAAAGTGACCGATGCGCGCGATGCCATCCCGCGATCACTTTTGCCCGGGTCGTATCCCTTCGAAAGACCGTAATACGAACTATGTTTAGAAGTAGCGGTAACAATAGTAGCGGTATCAAGTAATACAGTGGTAATAATAGTTACGCCCTCTTAAACGGTAACGGTAGTAGTAGCGGTAATAGTAGTAGTAATTGTAATAGTAGCGGTAATAGTAATAGTAACGGTAATAGTATTAATAGTGGTAGTAATAGTAGTAGTAGTGACAGTAATAATAACGACAGCGTCGATAGTATCCGTAGCGACGTAAGATATCTAAATGTACCCAGACGGATTGCTCGGAGAAACGTCGAACGTGTTGCCTACCGAGTAACGTTCTATGGTTTTTTTAATCGTTCCCACTATTTCGTTCCGTTTTTTTTTTTTTCCTTTTTCTAGGTGCACCGTTCCAGACAGCGACATGTTTCGTAATAATTACTTTCAACGATGCGATCGTATCGTTCTCTCTCGCATCTCGCGCCGCGCGAACAAAGCGTGTGTGTGTGTAACAACGTCGAGCGTCGCGGAGCTTCGGTGTGTTAGACCTAATCGAAAGCTTCTTTACCCGTAATGCGTTTTATGTTCACCCTGAAACATGGGAGCTTCTGTACACGCGCGATACCCGTTCACGTTTTCGTTTATTCGATTGAAGTCGCGGCTAAGAAGAACGAGGAGAGAACGAACGAAACCGTCCACGCGAGAGCCGTTCTTGACGATCGGACGGCCGAAAGGTGGTGGTTTCGTTTTTCTCGCAGTATCGCTTCGATCGCGTTTCACAGAATACAAATCTTTAAAGGTATCTGCGCGGAAGCTAATCCGAACATTCGAAAAAAGATAATATCTATATATATTTGTATATGTATATGCAGGGTGACTCAGCTAACTATTCGAGGTGATCAAGTTAGCTGAGACACCCTGTATACATATGTATATGTGTATTAGGTTTACCGGAAAGTTTCAACACATATGAACGAGTTCGTTTGAAACATGTATGGTTGCCTCCTTTTACCATTGTACAGGATGATCCATTTGCCGCGCAAATCAAATTACTATATTATTCAGTAAATATTAATAAATGTATTGGAAATGTATTATTTTCTTTTAATTGAAAAATGGACAGAACTTTCTGGTAGACCTAATATGTATATGTATATATATACATACACAGGCTATTCGGCTACTGGTGTCACTAAGTTTAAGGGATGTTTCAGTGTACGCAGATTACCTGCTTCCAGGCGTTTTCGACCTCAATTTTAGATTGTTAAGAACTTGCAAAAAACAAAGCCTCTTTATTTTCGTCTCACTTTGACACGTGGAATCACACCGTTCTGACACTAGTAGCCGAACACCCTGTATATATACATATGTATATATATATCTATATGTGTATGTATGTATATGTATACGCGATAACTACCGCAAAAGCTTCGATGGAACGACGATTGATTAACCAAATTTATATGTATACATATATATATGTATACATATATATATATATATATATGTATACATATATATATATATATATATGTATACATATGTATATATATACATATAAATCATATATATGTAGTATATATATATTTATTTCTTTTTGTACAGCGGAATTGTATGCTTTGCAGCCTCTGCCTTCCTTATGCTTAAAAGCGAACGTCTTTTTTTCTCTTTCTTTTGGTTTAAAGGTTTCTACGAGTACAGAGTGTACTAACCTGCGCGATCGCGTTCAGTTTTGCCGGGTGTTGGGTGCCGTTTTGAAAAACGGTGCCCCGACCATATAGAATACCGTGAGAAACAGAGGTCGATCGTTAAGTAAAAGGCGAATCACGAGTTGGCGATTTCATGGACGACACTTGCATCGACCTTTTTTTTTTTTTTTTATTTTATATATATCTTATCCATATTGAGATTATACGAGAGTAAGGGGCAAGTGGTAAACGGCGGTTGTTCCTTAAGTAGGTAGGTTAGGTTTGATTCGTTCGGCTAATTTGTCAGAAGCATATCCTCGAGAATTTAACGGCGTGTGAACTATTCGACGATAGAAGAAATAATGAAGTAGAAGGGGAAAAAAAAAGTAACGAGCGTGTGCTCCTCGTGTGTGGTTTCCTGTGCTCCCTCTGTGTTCGTCCATTTTCTCCGTTCTCTCTTTGATATTGCTACCGACGTGTCCTGAGAGTGCACACACACACACACACACACACACACACATGTGTGTACGTGGTTGTTCGTTGTCGAACTCGTTGGAACAAGGGTGCGTTTACCGGATTATCGCGTGTGAATAAAGACGAAGAAAAGGCTAATTCGCCCGACATCCAGAGTTTTCCAACTCCTTGCCGCGATTTTTTTCTTTTTTACCGTGCCGGTAAAGAAGAGACCGTTACGGCGCGATATTACGAACGCTTTCCATTTACCCGTCGATTAAATATATGTACCACACCGCCGGCCGTTTTTTTCCCTCGGACTAGCTTCGACGTATATAACTCGAGAATTCTCGAGCTATAATCACGGTAACTGTGAACGACGGACGCGTCTTATATCCACGACAGACAGACAGTTCTCGTCTTTCGATGATCGACGGTGGAAAGCTCCCGACGAAATCGCTTCACTCCGGGTGCCGGTCTACGAGGAGCCCTTATAGTGGACGAAGAAAAACGTGAGGAACATGGCGTAGGCGACCGGAAATGTGAATCGCGCTATCACGTCGATAGTCTTTGCCGCACGTATCGGATGCCATCGTTCCTTTTTTCTCAACTGAAACAGAGAGAGAGACATACATGGTATGCTGGCTTCTGTAGACTTGGATTAAGATTTTTTGTAACCCAGCCTATCAAACTTTCGGGGGCCCTTTTTTTTTAAAAAGCGGGGGGGGGGGGGGGGATAGAAAGTGGGGCCCGGGGCTATAACCCCCCTCCTAGTCCCTGCCTGGTTCGGTTTTATATCCGTATAATAAATACATAAATAAATAAATATTCGCCCCATAGACGGATGCGGTTATGTACACACGTCGCCATTAATTGGGAGACAAAACAAATAGTGCTCCCTCCCCCGATAACGAGGAAGGGGAGAGATTGTCGGCTAGGCGTATCGATCGCGAGGCTAGATGTTTCGAGGTTGAATAGGAACAGGCAATTAACATACCTCCGCGGTACATCCATTGGTGGCCGTGTGCGTGCAAGGATTAGGTCCGCAGTTGGTACAGGTCACGATCTCGTTCGTCCCTGTGGTGGTTCTAGTTGGTGGACCGCCCTCTCGCTTCTTTTTACCCTGCGACAGGGTCTCCGTAGAAGAAACTTATAACGTCATACCATCATTCGTGCAAACAACGATCCATCCTTCGACCAACTTCTCGGTTTTCTCATTTTCCCAGCCTCTCTTTCCTTTCCTTGACTCTTTTCGTTCTCCCGTGGCTCGTGCGTAATCGCGAACGGCACGAGAGAAGGGTAGAGAGCTCATCGGCCGAGAACGTAAGAACGGTTGACACTGAGTTCGCGAAAATCTGATCGGCCAATTAAAACGGAAAGCTAATTTCTACGGGAACTTCCGGTCGGAGACTCGTGTCTCTGCTCCACCGAGTCCCATTCGTTCGTTCGTTTTCGGGTGGATAATTTAGACGGGGATGAAAACGGCCAGCTCTATTTCGATTCTCTATTGACGATCGATCGTTCGAGATGACAAGCGTGTATATATATATAATATTATATATACATACAGGGTGTCCTAAAATAGGTGTAAGTACTTGAAAGGGGTGATTCTTGAGGTGATTTCACAAAAAGTTCACTCCCCCTCAAGGACTTACACCTATTGTGGGACACCTTGTATATAAGTTAAGCGTGACATGGAGAGGCTTTGATTGAGGCAGATAAGCTTGCACGTATAGGCGTGAGAAATTCCCAAAAATTCCCGCAACGGTCCACGTAATTCGAAGACCATCGCGATGGACGCCGCTGGTACTCGCCTCCCTCAACCCCTTGTCGAGGCAAACTCATTTTCTACCTAAAGTATATGCCTGCTGTTAGAAGCGTCGCACTAATTTTCACGCCCAACGAGCAAACCAATATTAGAGAAGAAGCAGAAAGAAAATCACGATACGGATTACGGCTTAATAAAAACAAATCAGTTTTTCAATCGAAACGATAGCTTTCCTCTCGCCTAACTACCGAGAGCGAGCGAGTACCACCGTTAATAGTCTTTTCCACGCGAGGGATTTCAGTTTCGAGCGACTCCAGATCCAATATTTTTCGCGGGTTCGTCGAAAAGTGAATCGTTGTTTCTCGCTTAAATAGTACACAATGTTTATGTATGTATGTATATCGATCAACACTTTCGTGCCTCTGCGTATAACTTCACGAATTACATGCCGTATTATTTAAATAACATCTACGTATCGCATTGTCGCGCATCGGACTCGAGCGTTTAACTTTTCTCTGTGAAATGATAAGTTAAAACCTCCTCCATATTTTCACATTGACAATAATCTTTCTTCTTGGTCGAAATACGAATTTCCTAATCCTTCTCCGTGTTTATCAGAGGATTCTTTCACGGGTATATTCGCGCTCGCTCGATTTCGATGCGAACGTCGCTTTCTCCCGTAACAACTGTACAGTTCTAACAAGGTGGAGGCACGATTGTGGAAATTGGATTCTTTAGAATGGGCCTTGGTTTTCGAGATATTTTTGTTTAAAGTTTTACATGTGTCAAGTAGTCTAGCTACATAAAATGTGATACCATGAAAGTGTAATTGCTACGACGATAGAGTACCTGCTTACTGCATAACAAATTTTTTCACATACACAGGCACTTTCACACTGAAACATTTTATGTAACGACAGTACTTGACACATGCAAAACTTTAAATCAAAATATCTCGAAAACTAAGGCCCATTCTGAAGAAACCCATGGGGGTTTTGTAATACTATATGTCTACTGTAACTTCCACATAG